ACATGTAGTTTGGGACAAGTGTGGCATTGAATAATGCTCCAGCAATCTTTTTTGTTTTGCTCTTCTTATTTTGTCTCTTTCACCTTGAAATGAGCTTCTGCGTTTTTTCAACTCTTTTACCTTCTAAAAAATCGATCAATGGTGTCTTCAGTTTATTTTTCCAACGTACAGTAATGTCTGATCTTCTGTTTCGTCAGTCAGTCAGTGCTGCAAGTGCAGTACTCACCATCGATTTTTTTTTCCGAGTACAAAAAAGAGTACATTAACCTTGTTGAACGACGCAAATGAGTCCTTACAAACGGCAGTAGCTTGCTCGTAATTTTCCCCCGGGTGTGAGTGTAAAAATGCCCCATTTGTCAGACATACTAGTTCCGCACCTGTCGTTCCGCGACATCCGGTAGGTCATCATTTCCGGGACTCCATCTGTACAAAAGTGCTTACACATGAGTATGTATTTTTTTCTTCTCTTTTTCTTTATTTCCCAGGTCTTCTTTTGTGTCTGACGAGCTGTGTTTTAGCCAGAGGAGGTCGTGGAGGAGGAGGAGGAGGAGGACGTGGAGGAGGAGGAGGTGGACGTGGATACGGAGGAGGTGGAAAAACTTCAGGTGTAAATTGATTGAATTTATGGGATGCTGAGTGCTTTTGGGACTTTTTTTCATTGTTTTCGTGTTGATGGAGGTAACTTTACCTGAGGAGCAATGAGGATAATTGAACCTGGATAATTCGAACCTCCCTCTCTCGAAACTTCCGTTTGTAAACATTTTTCTTGTCTACTTCATGTCTCAATTCCCTTTGAAATTGAATGCAATTGAAATCTTCCCGACTGGAAGGGTTTTTCTTCCGGAAACCTCTTTAATTTGAATTTTCTGGAGGTTTTTCGGCTATTATTTTATTGACGCAGAGCAAGAAAAAAGGAAAAAAAAATTGAAAGGAATTTAAAAAGAAATTAACCCTTACCCCCCAAGTTCAGCATCACTTCAAGCCGCACAAACAGAAGAAGAAAAACCGAAAATGCTTTTGAATTGAAAATTCTAAAAATTTGAAAAAATAAACTCAATTCTCCTTATCATGACAATCTCCCCTAAATGTAAATACGAGCTATCATTTTTGTGTGAATTCATAAAGAAAATTTAATTCCTAGAATTTCACCGAATACCTTTTCCTGTAATTTTTCTTTCTTTGTCCCTAACGAAACATGATGAAATCGAGGTAAAGTGGAGAAAATGAAGAGGAAACATTCAGAAACAAGACAATAAAACCAAGAAAGCATTAATTTATGATAATTTTTACTTTAAAAATAGTGTGCAGCAGGTCAATTTAGAAGTGAAAACACCATACAAAGTTTCTCAAAAATTTGACTCCTATTCAAATTTCGCACTAAAACAATCGTTTGAATTTCCATTTGGGAAAGAACAATTTCATGAATAGATGAATTTATTAATTTCTTGCAGAGTGACTTTTCTGATTTTTTTTTCAGAGTTTTTGATTCAGAAACAGATCTTGTTTTTTTTTCTGTTGGTGAGATTTGTTGCTCCAGGTAAAATTTTGTTCGGGGTTCGTTCAATGTGTTAATATTCATTTTCCTCTCGTCGATGGATTCAAATGTCAATCAGGCTTCTGAGTAAAGGAGAAAACTGTGATCCCCTCCTTATATTCATCAAAAAATACGGGGAGTGGTTTATAAACTTATGCTTGACTTCCCTCTTGTAATGTCGGGTGATTTTGAAGACATTTCTGTAGTACTTTGCCCCATTTTTTTTAGATTTATGCTCCTCACGTTTTTTTTTATTAAAATTAGAAGGGGATCAGGGGAAAAATAAAATCTTGCAATAATCATTAAAAAATGTGAGAAGCGGCTTATTAAGACTTTCGCTTGATTTCCTTTTTTTTTTGTTCATGTTCGCAGGAGTGAAAGCAGCAGTGGTGCGTGTCCCTACAGTCGTGAAAGCTGGCGTAGTTGGTGCTGCATTGGGGGCAGCTGCTGTACCTGTCGGAAAAGGCCTCGTTTCCCGCGGCTCCTCAGGTAAATTGGATGTCCGTCAAGCGAACGGAACTTTTATTGGACGCCAGTTTTACCCCCGGAATCTCCTTCTTCTTCTCGCAACCCCCCTCCGACCGTGTCTAAGGAAGTTCGCCATCTGCTCAGCCCCCCCTTGTTTGCATACGTGAAGCACATGAGCAAACTTCAGATTGCTGCTGCTGCGTCTGCTTTTATATAGGAAATGTCCCCCCCCCCTTTTTTTTGGTAGGGTGAATATATTTTTTATCGCTCTGAACCTAGAAATACCTCTTTTATCAGAAAACCGAAGGGGAGTCTGTGTAATCACCTTCATCCATTTAATCCTCTCCCTTTTTGATTTTTTTGTGGGCTTTTTTCTGTTCAAACAAAGCCTGCGTCAGTTTTCATAAGTTCAATGAGTGCTTTGAATTTTTTTTCTTTTGCTAGAAGGATACATTTCGAGGAAGGATCACGATGGAAATTTAAATTTATAGAAAAATAATATGGTGAATAAATCTTATTTTTAAAGGAGGAACTGAAATTTTCTCGGTCTTTTCAGTTTCGACGATTTTCTGTGAAACAAATTAATTTTCGTAGTCTGTTTTATTTGTAGAGGGTTCAATTTGATGAATTTTATTTTTTAGATCTCCCTTACATTTTTTTGGGGGTGTGTATTCTTTCTCCAAGTTTTTTTTTTGCTCTTTCGCAGGATCAAAAGGCAGGTACATGATTGCAGACAACCGCCAGTCGTCAGATGAAGTTGACGGAGAACCGGTGGTCGAGGATCGTGAGGAAGGAGGTTTGATTTGAAAAAAAAAAAAAAAATCCCCTGGATTTTCTAGATGCTTGTTCTCTGGGCTTTTCTCTTTATTTTTTTTCTTCTCTTTCTGTCCCCCTTTTCATAGCTTCGGATCCTCTCTCACCGTTTTTTTTCCCTTGAGAGGTGAAAAATCCTGTGAGATCCTCATGTGTGTGTGTGTGATCCTCAGCGCGCGAAGGGATCTTTTTCACGCGTGCGTCGCAAGTGTGACGAGGTCGCGGTTCCTGAGGATCCTTGGTTCAGTTCTCGTCGCGACGTTGGTTTGCGTTGTCACACACATGCGTGTGTGTGTGTATGTTCATCTTTGAAAGATTAATTTTTTTTTCGTGTGTCCGTGTGATCTAGTTTTCTACAGGAAAAGAACGAAAATATTTTTTCTTTTTTTTCCTCCCCCAACCACTTGTGAGTTTTTATGTGTAAAAAGTGTCCGGTGTGACGATTGGAAAGGAAACAATTGCGTGAAGGTGAGGAAAAACATGAGAAAGATGTTCTGTGAAGTGTTGGTGTAGAATTGTTGGATTCGTGCACAGTATATTGTAAAAAAAAAGTATTGTTGAAATTTATTTATTGTTCGGATGTCCGTGGATTCCAGTGATGTCAGTTGCGCAGTATTCTCGTTGTTTTATTGTATTTTCCGCTTGGCATCGAAATTCCTTTCCTGCTTTTCTCTTTTTCTGTTTTGGTGGTCAGTAGAATGTAGTGGGTAGATTTTTCTATGATTTAAGAGCAGTTGCGGGATTTTTAAAATGCCTTATTTATATATTTTTATTTTTGCTTGCATGGAAATTCATGTTTTTTGATGCTGTAATAAGAAAGACTTGTTACGTGAAATTTATAATCAATTGAAAATAAATTTCAGAAATTTTTTTCATGATTTGTGTAGATGAAGCTTCGGATTTATTTTCGATTTTGTGTCGTATTCTTTCTTCTCACATTTTTATTGTGGCATCGGAATTATTTCAGAATAGTGGTTCAAATGCTTGATTTTACCTTTTCCTCATAGTTTTAGAGAGTAGATGATTTTAGCTGGTTGAAGTTTTTTTTTCTTTGTATTTTTATCAATCAGGCTTTGAAACTTGTGTGTTTTCTTCGTTTTTGTTATATCCAAAGGAATGACAGCTTTTGGGATTATCGCCCTGATAATCGGACTCGGGATTATCGGACTACTTGGGTATTGGCTGTTGAGATACTGGTGCGAAATAAGGCCGATTCAGAAGCGACTGAAGCATGATGCGGAAAATCCGTTGCTGAGACAGGACGAGAACGAAAATGTTGTTGCAGGTTTGTTGAATTTAAAAAAAAAAGAAATTCTTCAACAGTATCTCTGTAAAATATTTTTTGAATTTAGGGTTTACAGAGGATAATCTGTGAATTCTTTAAAATTAAAAATAAAATTTAATTCACGTCTATCAGAAATCCCGGGATAAATTCAGAAATCTCGTTTCCTTTCGTGCAATATTTTTCATGTCTGAGGTTTAAAAAAAGATTTTCTAGCAATTTTTAAAAATTAAATCTGAAGTGTATTTCACACGTGTCGGAAATTCCGGGAGAAATTCAGAAATTTCTTCGTCTTTCTGGGGTACAGGAAAACACCGCTACGGAGAATCTCGTGATGAGAAATTTATTGTTTAGAACGAAATGATTTTTGTGGTCCTTCCAGAAATGTTAAAATGTTTTGTAAGGCTCATTTTAACGTATTTTTCATTAAAGCGAAGATCTTCTCATGTCCACGTGGGGTTTCAATGTACCAAAATTTGACTGTTCAAGCGAAATTAAAATCAGAATGTCGAACGTGTGGGACCTTGGGTAAAGCTTGGTTGTTAACGGAAATTTTTTAAAACAAAATTTGAATAAAATTGTTCCAGGCTAAAAATTTTTTTTTTAAAGAATTACAATAATTATTCATCTAGAGATTCGTTGAAACGAGATTCTACTGTGCTGAGGAATGATAGGAAGTGTTTGTTCAAGCTGAAATTGGATATTCTTATTTTGAAAAATGTGCGGAATTTTTTCTGAAGAAACAGAGTTAGAGTTTTTAGACATGATTAACGCGTCTCGGGACGCGCCTCCAGCTGCAAGATATCCCCTCGACAGGGTTCCAAAAATTTGAAACTCTACAATTTGGCAGAAACTGCCAACAATAAAATACAAACCCACCCCTGGGCCAATGACCCCTCATTCCCGACGATTCTCAAAGGAGTTCAAATACCCTAAAAAGGGGGAAAGACCAGACTCTGCCAGCTGCTGGTTGTTTGACGCTCCGAGTTCATCTTTCGTTACGAAATTCAAAACGTTTTTACAGCCAAGAAAACATCTACCCTGGCTCTTGAACAATTTGTCCCCGTCTCCCCAAACATGCGCAGCACTCCAATAACCCCGCCAAATTGAGAAAACACCCGGTTTTCGGGAGTTCCATTTTTTCCAAAACACAAGTCCGAGTTTCTCAAAAAACACCAGCACCTGGTGTTTTTCGCCACCCCAGAACCCAGCTCCTGGGACACCCTGCAGGTACTTTTAACTCCTCCCCATTTTTTCAGAATAAAAACCCCTGATTTTTGGGCCCAAAACACAGTCCAAATTTTGCGTGCGAAGCGTTGCGTTGTGTTTGTGAAATTTGTCCCTGCTGAGAAATTTACTAAGTCGGAAAACTGTTGTGCATATTTTACCGCGGAAAACTGTTGTGCATATTTTGTACTCTGTTCTGTTTGTTGATTTGTTAACAAAGGCTTGCGCTGTCTGGGAGAGAATCCCTGGTTGGTTCGCGCACCGGCCAATTGTTGTGTTGACTTCATTTATCCTATCTTAGAAAAATCTTCATCTAGATCTTGTCTGTCAATTATAAGTCCAAATTTTTCTTCACAAATTGAATCAAGCCACATTAAAACTTAAAACAAGGTGTACGGCTTCAAATATTACTTCTCTATAAAAACCGTACAAAAAAGGCAACTGTCTGGAATTTTGAAAATTGAGGACCCCAGAAAAATTATGCATGCGCGATTCCCTTTCCAATTTCAGAACTTTTTAATCTTCTCTCCTCGAAAAAAAGGAGAGGAAAAAGTTACAAAGGTCAAGTCGAAAGACAAATTGTGTGGCTTGATGCGTTCATTATACAGAATTATGCACCAAGTTATTTCTTCATTCAAGTATACCTTCAAAAGTTCACTTCCTGAACTTTTCTCAATTTGAGCAAAAAAAATTATGCGATGCTTTCAAAACTTTATCTGAGGTCTGTATGGTATTTTGAGCTTATTTAAGTGCAAATTGAGGTCGGAATGTTTGAATATTCTTGAAGCATTCAGGAAAAACTTGCGAAACGGCTGGTGTTTGCAGTTCATGACTTTAAATTGTCTGTTTAGTGAATAAATTGATGCCAGCGAAGTTCATGATGCAAATGATGACATTTCTTCCTGCTTTCAATTTGGCTCACTGAAGTTCTTTCTTTTTGTTTCTTGAAGAAAATTGTGGTTTTCAAGCTTGATGGGCGTGACATTCTGCAATCGTCGGAGAATTTATTCTCAAATCGCTCACGACTTGCCTTTTTAGAGTCGGACGAGAGAAAAAGAAACATTTTAAGTTCACAAAGTTTTAAAATATAGTTCCGATTTTTTTCTTTCCAGAAAATTCCGATTCAGCGAATATATTTCCGGTATTTGTTAATCCTCTTTTTTTTTTATATATCTTGTAGGAAAGACGAAGGAACTGGAAGCCGTGCCATTGGTGGCCTATTCGCGTCGGACCGTCAATGGCGACTGCAACGACGACGACGACGACGAGCGCGCGCAAGACATTTCGCCGCCAGAGTCCGTCGGCGACTTCCGTCGCGGGCACAGCAACAGGTCGACCAACGGGTCGCGATGCAGCGACGGAGGCAGCGACCGCGGAAGTGTCGGCGGCGGGGACCAAGACCGCTCCTCGCCCAGCGTCCTCTATCCGTCAATTTGTGCGTTACAATTTGTCTCTTTTTTTTTCTTCCTTTCTTTCTTTATTCGCCGAATAACTCAAAGTCGTCTGAATTATTATTATTTTTTCAATGCAGTAGAGGCTCTTCAAGTCAAGTTGCGTTGGGTTTTCTCATTGAAAAAAAACCCGTTTTATAAGATTTGAATGACGTTGCTATTACAGTATCACAGGGCCCTAAAAACGAATTCGTTGTTCGCAATACAGTACATTATTCCTTTTCTATGATCCGTTTTAACGAGCTTCGTTAATTTTTGATTCACTGTACCCTTTTTTTCTCTCTTCTTCTTCTTCCTCCTTGTCCGAAATTTATTACACCGTTGAGGATTTTCAAATCGAACTTGATCACGTTACATTGGGCTTCTCGAGAAAAAAAATTTAAATGACAGCCTTGATAAATTATCACATGGGCCTAAAAAATGAATTCGTTGTTGGCCATATTTCTTCTCTACGATATTCGCTTTAACGAGATTCTTATGTGTAATTCAAGGATATAACTACAGCATTACTTTTTAAATACTAGGTAGCTCAGATTATTGGCAGGAAATTTTGATTACAATGCATTCGAGTGGGAGCGTTTCTTAGTCAGGAAAACACGCCATTTTTTTCTTAGGAGTAGAAGAATTAGGCGAAGAATTACATTTGAATATATATATATATATATATTTTTTTTTTATTAATATGTAGTACTGTATATAAAGAATATGTTTGTGAATTTAAATTTTCGCAGCTGCCGTGAAGAAAATCGACGAACCCGATCATTCCGACGACGATTTTTTGTACGCGACATCGGCCAGGATCAAGACACCCAACTATGTTGACGAGTTTGTGGGATTCGAACGTGTCAACGACTCAGTTCAGAAAGCCCGCATCGACGCCGCTGTCGAGAATT